CGGTTAACACTGTAAGTGTGAGGAAAAATACTACTTTTCAAAACTTTGAAAATTCATAACTTCTTCGCCGTGTATCGGATTTTTCCGTTCTTTATATCAAACCGAAGCTAATAATATGTTTTATAACTTGGTAAAAAGAAATATTATTTTTAGCCGAATTTTAGCCGATTTAACCGATTAATCGAGATTAATTACTTTAAGTAAGTGAGGCTTAATTAGTTTAGAGCGTTCGGTTGTGATTGACCTCTTCTTGTATGAGTAGCTCATATGTTGTGGTATGGTATGCTGTGGGTAGCCGTATGGCGTGAATCCTAGGATGTGGAATCAATGGTGATTTTGTGGCCGTTTGGAAAATGTATTCATTGTTTGAATTAATTAAAAGTGCATGGTGAATGTGATTGACTTCGTTGCCATCGGCGCGATTTTGTGCTGCATGAGAACATATTGTGGATATGTATGCATTGCTTGTGATTGTATGTGAATGATGCATGGGAACATATTGTGAATATGTGTGCATTGCTTGATAAATGTTTTAATGGTATTGAAATATGAATATGTTGTGTGTGAAATCATGTTATAATTCGTATGTGATGAATTATTTGAGAATGCATGGGATTAAGATGCGAGAACGGTCTTAAGTGCATTTGGTTGTTGATTGCATATGCATCATTTAGTCAAGAGGCAATGCTTGCTAGTTTCGTGGAGACTAGTGACTTGTCCCAAACCTAGAAGGGTGGGTTTGAAAGCTTAGGGGACGGGCTTTTGTTGTTATTGGTCTAGAAGGGTGGACCCAGTTTAAGTGTAAAAACTGAAAAGTGATAACAAGTGTTGGTACCACATGGCATTGAGTTGCATTGAGTTATGTTGGGTCACATAGCATAGAAATCATGGTTATATGAGATATGCATGTGTGTGAATTGTTGGATTGTGAATTATGGATGTATGTATGATGAAACGTACTTGAGTGATTATCCATATTTGTTTATACATGTTGTGATGTATGTGAGGATTACAATGAATTATGGTGAGAAAATATGGGATATGTATATTCTGTGCTTGTGTATATATATGTATATAATTAAATGCATTGATTATTATGATAATATTTCTCACCCTTCTGCTGTTTTATAATGCTCTATGAGGCATTGCAGATTAGGATTGCTGGAGGTCTTTTTGTGAAGTATAGCTTCATTCTTTTGTCGGTCAGCTTTGATATGTAGCATCGGGTAGTTAGGTTGTATAACATTCTTTTGAGATGCATCTGTGTATGTATCTGATGACAAATGTTTTGTAAAACATGAATGATATGATGAATCAACTGAATAATCCGTATTTATGTGATTACATGTTTAAAGTGATTTGATGTTTAGATTTTCCGCTTTTAATTCTAAATATTGAGATGTGGGTGTAAGGATTAAGTTCCTATGTTGAAAGCTACCCCACTGTTACATGTCTTTTATTGAGCAGGTGTTGTATGTTTTAATTTTATGTATGTGTGACATGCTCCTTTTATACCATGATTTAATTTTACTCTGATGAAATTTAAATATGTGCTCAAGCGATTTATATGTTTTATTTGGGATATAGAAAGGGGGTGTTACAGTGGGGATAATGAAGATGATAATGTGTTTAAATTTGGTTTTTTTTATTATGAGCAATATATAGCAATTTCTGATGTGGATGTTTCCATTGTGTTATTCGTAGGCACTTATATTTGGAATATTTGATAGTTTCTGATGTGATAGTTTCTGTTAGGTAAACTCATTTTGTATTTGGAATATTTGGTAGTTTCTGATGTGGATGTTTCCATTGTGTTATTGGTAGGCACTTATATAGCAATTTCAAGAAGAAGTTTCCCGGTGTTAAATTAAAGGAATTGATGTGGAAAGCTCCCAATGCTAGTTATTCAAATGCTTGGGAAAGAATTATGCGTGAAATGAAAGAGGTGAATGAAGAAGCATTCAAGCACCTTTGGAAGATCCCACCTATGTTCTGGATCAAATCTAGGTTTATAAATGGTCCAAAGTGTGACACTTTGGTGAACAACATATCATAAGCCTTTAACTCTGTTTTTGTAGATGTAAGGGCCAAGCCCATCGTGATTATGCTTGAGGAGATTATAATGTACCTGATGCAAAGGTGAGAGTCTCACAGAAAAAAGATTTCCAAATATGCTGATACCATTATGCCAAATATCAGAAAGAAGTTGGAAAAAGAATCACAAAGGACTAATCGTTGGATTGTGAGGTAATGTCTCATACATGATTTTCTAGGTAATACAAAGAAGTAGTATGCATCCATAACTGATTTATGTATTTGTAACAGGCGTGCAAGTGAAGTAGACTATGAGGTTATGCACATATCACTCATTGAAGAAAAGCTTGTTGTTAATCTGTCAAAGCATGAGTGTTTATGTAGAAGGTGAATGTTGATTGGGCTACCATGCTGTCATGCCCTTGCATGTATGAAGGATCAAAATTTATAGGTAGATGATTTTGTTCCTGATTATTACAAAAAAAGAGTGTTATGAAGCTTGCTTTGCACCAGTAATTTATCCAGTCAATGGAGAATCTCTTTGGACCAAAACAGATGTTGTTGACTTGCAATCACCACCCATAAAAAAACAGCCTAGTAGACCCAAGAAGAAAAGGAACAAAGATGCTAGGGAACAAGTTAGAAATGAGACACAACTCAAAAGGGCCAAATTGGGTATCAAGTGCAGCAGGTGCCATAAAGATGGTCACAACAAGTCCACTTGCAAGCTGCCTACAACAACAACAATAACACCTAATGTTGCTGCTACATCAACACTACCACTAACTGCTGCTACATCAATACTACCACCAACTGTTGTTGCGACAACACCACCACCACCAATTACTGCTGCTACAACACTACCACCACCACCACCACCAATTGCTGCTGCTACAACAACACCATCACCAACTGTTGTTGCTGCTACATCAACAAGGCCACCAACTGCTGTTGTTACATCAACCCAACCACCAACACCAGTTACTGCTGCATCAAGCCTACCACCAACACCAGTTGTTGCTACATCAAGACAACCAACACTAGTTGCTGCTACATCAAGCCAGCTAACACCAGATGGAGGTTCAACTCAACAAGTATCCAAAAAAAGAAAGAGACTTCAAAAGGGTCTAAAATCTGTTCTGAGCCAACCATAAGATTATGTTTATCTTTGATGTGTACTAGTTATTCCACTTTTTTCCTATTATGTAGTTTAAGACTAAGGTTTATAATGCCACTTTTGTTGGACTTCAGCTGCTGTAACATATGGCGTAAAATGCCTATACTCTAATTATGTCTAATGGTTTGCAATGCCACTTTTGTAATGACTTGTAATGTTAATATTACAACTAATGTTATGGTTTTGTGACTATTGTTATGACCATTTTATAGTTTGGATTTGTTCTTGTAATTGTGGGAAACAAACAAAAGTAACATTTCCCATATACAATTCATTGGTAAATTTTGACAGAAACAGAAGTAACATTTTACAAACAAAACAACTACATTTCATTGATATATTTTGACAAATACATATCAATGTTGACAAAATATTTCACAGATACAATTCAACCTCCTTGTTCACAACTACATATCATTACACAAAAAAACAACCAACCTAAAAAACAATTGTTACAAATATAACATTAAACAATTAGCTCAATATTCCAATGATTATAGACAATTTCAACCATCCCTTTGTGTTGATGATCTCATTCTTCAACCTGTAAATTTTCTTCTTCTTCCTCTGGATCTTTAAATCCCTTTCATCAATAATGTCGTCGTCGAACCATTTGAAGAAATTACATCCCTTATTCACATGATTTCTAAAATTTTTGCAACCCATAAACTTTTTCCCAAAATTGACACTACTCATGTCACCCACGGTACAAAGCACACATTCATCTTGACAAAAGCACTCTCTCCTTTTGTTTCTTCGAACAACCGACCCAGTTGTACCAATTGAAGAACTGCTTGATATTTTAGACATTGGAGACGAAGAAGAAAGATAAACCCTAGGAATGGAGACAAAATGAAAAAAAAACGAGATGAAGAGAATAAGATGCAGAGAACAAGATGAAGAGAACAGGATGAAGGAAGCTACAAGAAGGAAGATGAATGAACCATAAAGACGAATATGCTAATAAAAAGATGCAAGAAGCTACGATCGTTTTTTTTAAACCATTACCATGAAGCAAACATTTAAACATTTAAAAACTAAATTAATTATTCATTTGATGACTAGGCATACAGTTGGAACGCCACCCTGACAATAACTAACGGTCTAACACATGAATGAACAGAATGAATCGAATATATTAACAGAAGTAACATTATGGTATCAAATCAAATCATTTCTTTTTATTGAGGGACTATGTCGCAACTAATAACTTTGATGAATAATGCCTTGCTGAAGAAACAAATCCATTCAAATACTTAAAGTTTGAGCGTCCTAACCTATAATACCATACCATTATTTCTCCATCTTAATGAAATTCTTCCTTAATATCAACCTCATCATTAAAGAGATAGAGACCATCATCTTCTTACTACTAAAATTTACAATTTAGTGTGTTAAAAATAGCAAAATAGTTAAGATCTTAGTTAATTTGCTTATGGATAACATGTTGCAAGACATATTTGAAACATGAAAGGATATTGCGAAGGGTTAGAGTCTTAGATATAGGAATGAAACCAACTTCATATATGGTAGAAAAAGTACCATTGACTATTTTAAACTATTTATGACTAGCACAAGTACAATAAAAAAATAGAACTCGGAAGATCATAAGAGAAACACATATCTTTTTGACAAGAGAGGAAGGAGTCAGTGACATAATATTAATTAATTTATATAGACAGATTTTCATCACACTGACATCAAAATTCTAACAATATCCATAAATATACAAAACGATAACCAAAACGACCTATAACAGAGACACAAAAACAACCAAAACGACAACCAATCAAACGGCAGCGTACTTAGAAGCTTCAAGATCCGCCGCTTTCTGAAGAAGACTCTGCGAATCATCTTCCAGAACCATCTGAATAGGCGAAGATCCCAATCCATCAGCAATCGCAAGCATGATCTTCTTCATCTCGGATTTAAACTCGTCACGATCGACAGTGCCACTTCCGTCACCGTCAAAAGCGTCGAACACGGAGTCGTAAAGGCGCGTGAGTTGCTCCGCCGGAGTCGATACGTCGATGCCGAAGTGTGCCTCGATTAGTCTCATCGATTCAAAGGCTGTGCGAAGCTCGGCGCGTGATAAAACGCCGTCGTTGTTGAGGTCGAGAGACGAAAACTGTTCGTTGACGCTGTTTGTGAAACGCTCGTCGTCGGCTATGAAGTTTGTTACGGTGGTACCGTCTATTATCACCACACCCATGCTCAATCTCAATTGATTGATTAAGATTATTCAGTTTAAGATGAGACTAGAATAATAGTTAGAGGCAATTGTTATATGGGGTTTCGCAATTGACGCGCGGCACCGTTTGTTTGATTCTATATTGCGTGCTATCCTTTTCTCAAATCTATGGACCTCTAGCCTCTAGTCTTTGTTTTGATTATTATAATATTATATTATTTTTTAAGACAATTTTTCCAGCATCACAAAAATTGGATAATATACCTTAAAACAATCGGCTACTCATATATTATTTTATTACATTTCATAATTTACTTAATAATTTAAAATTTTAAAAATGTTTAATGCACTATACTCTATGAGTAATTATTATCCGATTTATGAGCTGGATAAAAAGAATTTTTCAACATGAAGAACCCCACCGCCTAACTTTCCTCCTCCTTCCTTCTCTAATGGATCTGCCGGCCGTTAATACCTTGGCTTTGTATTGGATTAAACATAGAGAAATCTTCTGTTAATGTTTTGACTGCTGCTCTCCAAACTAAAACTATCAAATTTTTTTTTCTCAAACGGTTCATAACATTTGCACAATTTTCATGAGAGGATTATTTGACCCAAAGGTGATACTCCCCTTGAAAGTTGACGTCTTGAGGTTAAATTATTTTTTTAATAGAATTTTTTTTGGACGAATGAGGATTCACACTACCATAAATAATATTTTTATGATGAAATTTGTACTTCGAACATGCCAAAATGTGAATGTCATATTTTCTTCATTAAAAAAATAAACTTTTTTACTTCATTGTTTTTGAAAACCTATGTAATATAGCAATAAAAAACACATTTTGAATTCCTATAAGTGCATTTAAGGTGTTTCTTCAATGATTTTTCACTTGTCGCCTTCAAATCTTCTATTTTTTTTAGTTAATTAATAATTTTCAAAAAAAAATTTGTTATCAATACAAAGGAATAAACAATAATATAAAATGTTCATTAATTAAAAACAGGACAACAAATAACTATTTCACTTATTCAAATTTCTGACTCCACTTAACTTCAATAGTATCACTATTAATTATCTCTAATTGAGAAAAAAGTGTAGAAATTTTTTTTCCATATGGTATGAGAAAAGTCATTTTTTCCCTAGAGATGATTATCATTTTCTTTTAAGAAGTTGAAAATGGTAAGAGTAAAATTAACTATGATGTTCTTGATAAGGAATAACAAGAGATGTTTGTCATCTCAAGTAAGCGTTTCTAGTTATTTCTCTTTTGGACAGAGATTTGAAATTAAAAGTTGATACAAAACTTTTCCAATTGGTAGTAGAGTAGCAGGACTGTTGAGATTATCATTGTTGGCATAAATTAGGTGAAAGTGATTTTAGTAGACAATGTTGAATTTATAATTTTCAACACAACAATCTTCCTCTTCATAATTTATTGTCTGAGAAATAAGTGACCGAGTAATTGTGACAGGAAAGCCATTGACATAGGACAATCAACTTATTATCCAGGTTATTCGAAAAATTCGACGGGAAAAACAATTCAAGAACATTTTTTTTATTACTATAATTTTTTTAACATAATTAGATTTTACTATAAAAGCACTCATTAAACATATTTTACTATAAAATAATCAGATCTTACTCTAAAAACATCGTTAAACAAATTTTACCCTAACCCTAACTTATATGTAGCCGCTCTAATCTTGAATGCATCATTTTTATGGGATCCATCTCAAAAAATGGTGTTGATATTGTTGTTGTTGTTGTTGTAGTAGTAATAGTATTTAGAAGCTTGAAAAAGTTCTCTGTAATGGATTGCAAGTATAGAAAAATATTTATTTCAATAGTTGGAACAAATAACTCCTTTAGAAGTTGGATGCATTCAATGGTTGGATCAAATAACTCTTAGAAATTGGATATGTGCAATATTTGGACCAGATAACTTCTTACACCAAAATTTTTCTTTTGCTGTATTATTGTTTTTCAATATTCTGTGTAAACAATATAATTAAAAAAAATCATGTTCACCTCGATTTTTAACAAAACCGAGGTGATAATTTAGCGTGATAATTTTAGAGGGGTTGGGATCCACTCCATTTCTTTGTCCCTCCATTTTCTCCATTACTATAGTTTTGTGTGTAAATAACACACATTTCTAAGACATGTGACATATAATTAATATTTAGTTAATTTTATATACATAAAAACTATAGTAATGGAGAAAATGGAGGGACAAAGAAATGGAGTGGATCCCAATCCATTTTAGAGATTGATCATCATCGTTAAACAAATCTTTGTTGTCCATTTCATAATTATCAATATCTAAGACACTATCATTAGCAATCCGCGTGAAACCTAATTTTTTTTATTATAAAAGTTTTCTGATATCTATAATTGATAATACGTCATGAAGCGCTTGATATCTATAATTTTTCATTAACTTTTCTATAATTCTATGATAGATTGCAAGTGTAGAAAATTATCCAGATTTAAAGTTTGTGTTTTTAAATATTTATTTAAACAAAAAATTATTTATTTTTCTACTGTTCAAGTAGTTTAAAGTGGAAGCGCTCGTCTTATTTTTCGACGACTTTTCAGTCACATTTCGATTAGTCTGAGCCTTTTTACCGGTTCTAATTTATTTTTAAATCTGACCAAACACTGTATTTTTCTGAGTCGTTTATTTCGTCTAGTTCATTTTAGTACATTCAGTTTAATGTTTCAGAGTATTTTTGTGTTCGATTTTTTTATTCATTTTTTTCTTCTTCATTTTTTATGTTTTATTCAAAATAATCATTTAAATTAGTTAATATTATTTAGATATTTTAGTTTAAGGTTATCTTGAGTATTTGTTTTTATTTTAATTATTAAATTTTTTTTTAATATTTTCAAGAATGATAAAAAAAAGAGAGAATGAAAAAATTGATTGATTCTTATCCACCCCATCATGATCACGTGGCCAGCTGGAATGTTATTGGGATCCAAAGGATAGCACATGAAAATAGCAAATACTCTAACAACCAACTCATAACAAATTCTCCAGCTTCCCATAACACTCTCCAAACACGTCCTACTTGGGACCACTCTCTCCCCACTTGATTTTGAAGGTACAGATAAAACAAAAAGAAATTGCTGCTCACATGCTAACGGTCATGAGAGATGAAAAAGGAAAATCATTGAACAATATACCACTCTTCTCTGACCCTGGTCTTCAAAAATTCACTCTCTTCCCAATGAACCAACTTCATTTCATGGTTTTTCCTTCATAAGCTCACAATGTTAAACCTCAACCTTCCTCTATCATTTTTTTTAGAGAAACCATAAATCCCATCACCTTCCACACACCAAGTTTCCATTATTTTCCACCAAATCAACCCACCTCCATAATGTTAAATATAATTCATTGTGATTTGATTCGATTTGATATCATATGATTAGATTTGATTTAGAATATTTTGGGTCTTTTATGTTTTGGGCTAGTGTAAACCTAAAACTATAAATAGGGTGTCTTGCTTTGTATTCTAAATCATATTATTAGAACTGGATTCACAGTTGCAGTGTTAGCAAGTGAAGGTTCAATAAAATCAGAAATCCCACAGTTGTGGGTAACTCAATACTTTCTCATTCTTCTCTTTCTCGTGTGTTCTTCTTTTCTTTGTTGTTCTTGATAATTACTTGTTATTACCATTACTATCATATTGTGGGTTTGTTCATCAATCTTGAGATCAAGATTGAAGGGAATTCCTCATAGGGTGTGAGGTGAATTTCCAACATCTGGTATCAGAGTCTGGTTGAGAGATTCAAGGAAGGAAGATAGTGATGCCGATGAACTATCCGAACGGAAACTTTCCGGCGACCCTGCCAATTCTCAAGAAAGACAATTATGAGAATTGGTGTAAGCAGATTAAGGTGATTTTCTGTTATCAAGATCTTTGGGATCTTGTGAAAGATGGAGTAACATCGCTTGGGGAGAACGCAACGGAGGCGGAAAAGGATGCGCACAAAGAATTGAAGAAGAAGGATTATAAAACACTCTTTATAATTCATCAGTGTGTCGATCTTGATAACTTTGAAAAGGTTAGTGATGTTTATTCAGCAAAAGAAGCATGAGAGATTCTTGGAAAGTCGTTTAGAGGCGCAGAGAAGGTGAAAGAGGTGAGGTTACAAACTCACAAGAGAACCTATGAGTTGCTTCAGATGGAAGACAACGAAAGCATTACAAATTTCTTCACCAGAGTTACGAAGTTGGTGAATCAAATCAAAGTATGTGGAGAAGCGCTAACGACGAAAGCAGTTGTCTCAAAGATTTTGAGATCGTTGGCTCCAAAATTCGACCACGTGGTAGTTGCCATAAAAGAGTTGAAAGATCTGTCAGTATTGACGAAGGAAGAGCTTCAAGGGACTCTTGAGTCTCATGAACAAAGGATAATGAGCTGCAGGAAAGTCGAAAGATATGGCTTTACAGGCGCAGTCAGAAAAGGAAAGAAAAGGCAAAGGTAGCTGGAATGGCAACAAAGGAGGAAACCAGTCGAATCAGAAGAAACCTTGGAACCAAGGCAGCCAAAGAGGTGGTGCTGCAGGTAAAGGAAGAGGTGGTGGTCGAAAGCCAGACAAAAGCCACATTCAGTGTTTCAATTGCCAGAAGTATAGTCATTATGCTAGTGATTGTCCAGAAAAGAAGAGAAATCAAGAGACTAATGCAAAGCTGGCGAAACATGAAGAAGAAGAAACGTTGCTAATGGTCACAACAAAAGATGAAGAAAGATTCCAAGATCAGTGGTACTTGGACTCAGGATGCTCATCACACATGACTGGAAGAAAAGATTGGTTTGTCAACATGAAGCCCTCGTCGAAGAACACAGTGAAGTTTGCAAATGACAACACTCTAGCAGCTGAAGGTGTTGGTGATGTTCTGATTATGAGGAAAGATGGCAAAAGGTCAACAATTTCCAATGTGTTGTACATACCAGGCATGAAGAGTAATTTGCTCAGCATAGGGCAGCTTGTCGAAAAGAAC